GTGGTGGCGCACGCCTTTAATCCCAGCACTCGGGAGGCAGAGGCAGGCAGATCTCTGTGAGTTCGAGACCAGCCTGGTCTACAGAGCTAGTTCCAGGACAGGCTCCAAAGCCACAGAGAAACCCTGTCTCGAAAAACCAAAAAAATAAATAAATAAATAAATAAATAAAAATAAAAAATAAAAAAAAATCTAAACTGTGGTTATAGGCTGGATGAGGATAACCCCAGCACCACCTGCCCTTCATTAATTTTCTTTTAAAATTTTATTATTGTGTGCATGTGTGTTTATCATGCATGCCTGTGAACCATGCGAATGCAGTAATTGCAGACATCAGAAGAGGGCGAAGGATCCCCTGGAACTGGTGTTATAAAAAGTTATGAGCCTCTATGTGTGTGCTAGGAATCAGACCCAGGTCCTTTGAAAAAGCAGCCAGGGCTCTTGACTGAGTCACCTCTCCAGCTTCATATCTTTCCTGTTTGAAATTAAGCAACCTTTATTAAGTTAAAAGTCACATGCAGTTTGGGGACTTCTAGATCCTTCACAGATATGTGGAACCATGGTCACAAGCTATAGCATTTTTTTCTCATCTTAGAGAGACTGCTCAGTGGTTAAGACACTTTCTACTCTTGAAAGAGGACCTTGGGTGCTCGCTTCGGCAGCACATATACTAAAATTGGAACGATACAGAGAAGATTAGCATGGCCCCTGCGCAAATTCGTGAAGCGTTCCATATTTAAAAAAAAAAAAAAAAAGAAAAGAAAGAGGACCTTGGTTCAGTTCCTAGTATCCACATGGTGATTCCCAACTGTCTGTAACTCCAGTCCAGGGGATCCAATGCCTTCTGGCATCTTCAGGCTCTAGGCATGGTACGCAGATATACATGTAAAAATCCATATACATAAAATAAAAAAATAAATGAATTTTTAAAAAATCTTTTCCCTGTTTCCCACTTAATTCATTTGTTCTTATTTGAATGTTTGTGCCCCTCATTTCACAGTTGAAATCTTTGGTTTTGGAGACAAGGTTTCTCTACATAGCCCAGGCTGGCCTTAAGCTCGAAACCCTCTGCCTTTGACACTCACGTACTGGGGTTCCAGGCTTGTGTCATAGTGACTAACCTACATTCCGAAATATTTTTAAAATATGTGTTTTATTTTTAATCATGTGTATGTGTATGTGAGTGGGGGCATGTGTGTGGGTGTGTGGGTGTGTGGGTGTGTGGGTGTGTGGGTGTGTGGGTGTGTGGGTGTGTGGGTGTGTGGGTGTGTGGGTGTGTGGGTGTGTGGGTGTGTGGGTGTGTGGGGCATGTGCATGTATTGGATTTAGAAAAGGGTGTTGGGTCCTGTGGCGCTGGAGTTCAGGGAGTTGTGAGCCATCCAGACAAAGGTTCTTAGAAGTAAACTCAATATTTGGAAAGACAGCAAGCAGTCTTAACTGCTGAACCTTCTCTTCATAGGAGTTTCTTCTGTGTGAAAGCTTCTTGTGAAATGGAGACTGTTTACAGTGAGCACCCAACCCACGAAGGTGCTAAGTATGCATCCGGCACCACTGTATAGCTTTGGGAATGGTTTAAACTTTTTATTTTGCATAGTTTTAAATTTGTAAATGATTTAAATGTTTGTACGTGTATGTGTGTGTGCGTACTTCTATATATGTGCAGCGTACTTGTGCAGGTGCCAGCAGAGGCCACAAGAGGGCACCAGATCCTCTGGAACTGGAGTTGTGAACAGCCCCGTGTGGGTGCTGGGACCTGAACTTGGGTCCTTAGCAAAAGCTGCAGGTGTTCTTAACTGTGGAGTCATTTCTCCAGCCCTAGTCCCATGTTTTGCCTTTTATATTTATGTCATGTGTGTAGATTTGTGCATGTGTGTGCATGTGTACACATACATGTTTGTGATTATGCATGTGTGTATGTGCTCTGGAGAGTATGTGGAAGTCAGAGGATGACTTCCAGGAGCTGGTTTTCTCCTTCTACCATCTAGGTCCTGGGGTGTCATTTAAGCGTTCAGTCTCGGCAGCAAGCGCCCTCATGTTGACCCCATAATTTGTCTTCCCTCTCTGGTCCAGGGGCATCTCTTGTATTTATTTTGCTTCGGTTCTTCCTTTCCATTCATAGAATTTAGAGCAGTTACTGGGGCAAGGGAACTGGATAGCTAATGTAGAGGTTCCCCTTTTTGAAATTACTGTGGCTATAGAGCCTGACTTAGGAATGGGAATGATGTGAGCCCTACAGAGACATTCTGTCAAGTTCAGTGTCCTTGTTTTAAAAACTTTCCACAGAACCCCATTTTCCTTTCTTAGGTATTTAAATTAACAGCCACAACCCCTTCTCCTCTGTTCTGTACAACTCAGACAGTGTCAGAGTCTGTCAGCTCAGACCCTGGGAGAAGGCAAGACCCCACCACTGTAGGCGTTACTTTTAGCTGTATGTAGATCCATAGTTCAGAGCACTGGCTGCTCTTCCAGAAGACCATGGTTCAATTCCCAGCATCCACAGGGTAGCTCAGAACTCGAATTCCAGCTCCAGAACATCCAGTGTTCTTTGTCCTCACCAGCCACTGTACAAATGCACAGACATACATGTATACACACACACACAGAGAGAGAGAGAGAGAGAGAGAGAGAGAGAGAGAGAGAGAGAGCTAGAGAGAGCTTGTGTATCTAGAAGCTTTTAAAGCCACAGTTGGTGAGCATTCCCTCCTCCTGTAGAGACAAGAAAAGAGGATTGATTCACTCTCTCTAGAATATTCCAGATGAGTATGCCTGACCTATGACGTTTCATTACAGGAAAATGATGTCAGAAATTAAGAGAACTGACACAGAAAGGCGCAAGGTTCAGAGATCAGGGGGTGCTGCTCAAAGACCCAGGATTTCTTAATCTGGCCCGGAAGCCAGATGTCTGTCCCTAAATTCTCCTTCTTGGGGACCCGTGTTCGTGGAGAAAAAAAATCCTGTGCCATTTGCAGCTGGACTGGAAGGCCAGTACCAAAGAAGAGCAGCAGTACTGAGTGTGGAGTGGAGGGGGAGGTAGGGCTGGTGGCTGTTTTGCCCCCTAAGTTTTCCTTGGGTGGGTCCGGGTTGCAGCCAAGGAAAACAAGAGCCTGGTTCTCCCTTCCCAGCCCCCCAAACCGGGGCTTTACAATTACCGTCTGGAAAAATCTTCCACCTCTCCTGGTTGTCCTCCTGCAGGCCCCCAGCCCAGGGAGGGGAGGTCCGCTCTGCTGGCAGTAAGGGACACGACTTTCAGGGTCTGGAAACAAGATGGGCTTTTCCCTCAAGGGACTCACAATCTTTGCGAAAACCAGACAGACCTTGGGCGTAGCGGGAAAAGCTTCTTTATTACACACTGAAATTCCATCCACGGGGAAACTGGTCGGACCATTGAGCCAGCCTCCAGCTGAACAGCCAAGCGCAGGGCAGCCGGCTCCAGCCTTAGTCCTCCCCTGGTGCCCTAGACCCCGCTCCTATTCTGCCAGCCATCAAATTTCCGCTGCCTGATCTGTGTCCTGGCGGCGTCTAGGTCCGCCCCGACCGAAAAATCCAATCCGTTTGCAAAGAAATGATTGGAGCCGGAGGGCTGGGGTGAAATGGAAGACATTCCCCCGTCTGCGCAATTTCTCTTATCTCACTGTCCTCTGCCTGGGCCAAGATGTCCCCACCCGGTGAAATAGAAGTGAGAAAGGATGTTAAGAGGAGTTGCTTTTTTCTGCGAACCCCTCGTCGCTCCCCACCCAGCTGATTTCCTGCCCTGACTCCCGCACCGGGCTAGGGCGCCAACTAAATCTGATGAAAATGCAATTGCCAAGTCGTTAAGGTATTTGAATTTAAAAAAAAAAAAAAGGAAAAAAAAACTCCTGAGAAAGAAAGTATTTGATGGCTAATAATCTCATTTCAATATAATGGGACCTTCTTCTACAGAGAGCAAGACAGGTTAAGAGATATAATTATGACTTCGCAAACTCTCTCCCAACCGCGGGAGACACGCTGACAGGTCTGTGCGAGGCTGCGCCCAGCTTCTCTTGCTTGGAGGATAGACGCTTTGTCTGCGCGGCCGGTTAAAGACACGCGGTCCCTTTTCAAC